TGCCCAAACTCCTCTAAAGTCAGAAGTACTAATATTCACATTAGTGTTCCCAAATGTACATCCAGGAAATGGCAGAGCTGGGATTCACACCCTACTGTCTACATGGCTCCAGACGAGGCACTATTAACCGTGTCATCAGCTGAGTGAGTGGAGGACGAATGCAAGTGAATAAATGCAAAAATAAAGGCAAAATAAATGCTTCTAACTTGTGGCTTCCAGGACCGCTGGCAGACCTTGTCTGGACCACACAGAACAGTGATGTGGAACAAGGGCGGCTCAGCTAAACCCTGCCTCCATGCCCCTCCCCCACCACGCCCCACTCTGATCCACAGCCCCCCTTTTCAAAGGGGCAAAGTCAAAAACAAGGGCGATATCCCATAGGTCTGGCCCGGTCACACAGGGACCACGTGACAAGACAGTGTGGTGGGGATCTGCTGAAGGACTGTGGAGCTTCCTGTGGGCCCCTGGTGCTTCCTGCCTGAGAAGAGAGACGCCCCTGGTGCCCTAGAGTGAAGTTTCAGTTAGTGGCAGGGTCTTCACTTCCTGTTCCAAGCTGTTGGGTAAGTCTTGTACTTCACGACCCCGGGGCCTCTAGACTTGGGTCACATAGTGCCCTGAACAGCTTAGCGACTATGTAGTGCCAGCCACAAACAGAGGCTCAGTTCTGATATTTTTTTAAAAAAAACTACCTATCAGGACAAAGAGACAAGCTATTCAAATTCAGGACTGTTCTAAGATGCACCCCGGCACTAAGGACGTGACTAATCGAACGTGACATGCATATTTTATGACTGTATCTCTCCCTTCCCGTCTCCTTCTCACCCCTCTTCTCTCTTAACATCTCCAGTTGTCATTTATAGATGCAGAATAGGAGACATTTAAATCTAAATTCATTTACCTAAGGCTCTGTTCAAGTCTTATGTGCCAGGCTGAATTCTCCTTACCTAGTTTCTATTTTGTTTTCCTATATGTGAGGCGTGTGCTATTTCAAAGGCCCTGATTTTTTACTTTATAGGAATGCTGAGGAAGTCGGGCCCCAGGAAGACCATGCCGAACGTAGCATTTTCAAATCAGTCATCTGGGGGATTTGTGACCTTACAAAAATTTCTGGTGGTTTCTGGCATCCAACTTCCTCCCTGTCTCAAACTCTCCCTCTCCCCGCGTTCTGCCACATATTTTCAGGCAAGAATCTGAGCTGGTAAAAAACTAAAAGACAGAAAAGTCCAACATCCAACAGCGACCATAAAAATTGTATTTTAAAATCCCAGCATCTACCAGGAACAGCTGATACAAGAATGCACAGTGTATTTTAATCATATCAACTGTGCCCACCTCAATTTAGATCTAGGAAAAGTTAGAATAGACAAACTAAGACAACACTCGCAAAGACAACACTCGCATTCGGGTTAAACTAGTCTACTGCGACAGGAAAGTACCTTGAACATCAGTGAAGTCTTATACACAGAATGAATTTCCCCTCCAGGGAAAATCATCGAATATAAATTCATTAGGGCCATTAATTCATCCATGTAAACACAATGGACAGCACTGTTAATGGTAGGGGGAAAAAATCAGACTCTTTAAGAAACAGACTAACACCTAAAGCAAAGAGAGTTGGGTTCTAATTGTGCTTCTTGTAAGAAGACAATAATAACACCTGTTTCTTTCTCATGGAGAATAGATACAAAATTGCTAAAAATATGTTTAAGTTCTTCTAGGTGAAGCTCTATGGAATCCCAAGGGAGTCCAATCAGAAAGAGGAAATAGACTGGTGGGTTCTCTTCATTTTCCATGAGGGCTAGGTGCCCAAAATGTTTTAAAAGCAGAAAACTGGTAACGCTGGATGAATTGTCAAAATACATTTCCCTCTGGTTAAGAAAAGCAGAGAGGGAGGGCTGGAAGGGCGGAGCGGTGAGCAATTGTCATCAAAGCATTGTTAATATGAACTGAATTATACCACAATGGCAACCCTTCAACGTGGAGAATGAAAATGGTTCTGTATTATTGTGGATTGGCAATATGACAATCGCTCATTGAGAGCGGATGACAGCTGTGGCATTCTAGCTCCGCGCACAACACAAGATGAATGAGTGCGACAAGTTCTTCAGGATGGGCCCCTATTTCACAAGAGTCCGTCTCATCCCAAAATAAATACACGCCAGCTTTTCCCTATCTCAGCAAATTTAGCATCTCTTTACAAACCAACGTGCTACCAGCGGCCTCAAAGTGCCAGTGTCAAGTCCCTGCTTAGTGGATTTGCAGCAGCTGTGAAATGTCAAGTCAAAATGCCATGGAAGATCTATACAGCGCCTCGGCAGAAGAAAGGGCAAGAAATGGTGGAACGCCCATTCCCGGACACATGGGAGCTGTCTCCTCATCCGCAGGAGCACCGCTCAGGAATTCGCCTCTTGGCACCAGGCTGGTCTCACCATAGACCTAGGGGACACATCTGTGGACCTCCTATACCAAATTATTCACCTAAAAGAAGTCATATCATACATGCTACTTGAAATGAACACATTTCGGAGTCCAGAGAAATTTACATATCCTCTTATGGACAACAAAAAGCCATTCCTGCTTACCTACTGCCCCCGGGCCCCCTCCAAAAAGAACCCAGCAAGGCAAAACCCACAAAATCCACCCATCATATTACCATGCGAAAGTAAAAGTCCTCTGTTCATCTTCTTATTTCCAGCTTTATTGCATTTAAAAAAATATTTCTAATTAAATTTATTTTTAACTGACACATAAAACACAGAACTTGCACATATTCATGGGGTCCCATGTGATGTTTTGATGTCTATATAAACTGAATAATTAGGCCAAACATTTCTTTCTTCTCTAACATATATCACTTCTTCGTGGGGAAAACATTCAAAAATCTCTTGTAGTTTTTGTAGATATGCAGGACACAACTGTTATCTGTGGTCACCTCACTGTGCAGCAGCAGGCTAGGACCTCTTGTCCCTATTTACATGCAACTTAGTATCCACTGGCCAACCTCTCCCCAGCCTCTCCACCTCTCCTGCCTCCAGCCTGTAGTGACCACCAGTCAATTGTTCTACACTCAATTCCAAAGCATTTTTTTTTTTGAAAGAGAATTTGCTGCATATCCTTTTCCCAGGGCTTGCTTTTTTAGAATACAGCAATCAGTATACTCCAACATTTTCAATTTTTTCAATCTCATAAGTATTCTAAAATATAATTTTAATGGCTATATATATTCCATTTTGTATATATACTATAACTTACAGAATCCCCTACTATTGGATACGTAGGCTGCTTCTAATGTTTCACTAAGAAAAAGAATGCAACTATTATGGAACATTTGTATACTCTAATTTCTTAGTGTAAAATCATAAAACCTGTCCTGATTTTCTGGGATCCTGACTATGGCAACAGTCAAAACCTCAGAGTAGCCCTTAGGTAGGTACCTGGAGCATAATTCAAAAGAATGCAGCAACCAATACACTCTCAACATCTCTCAACTTTCTAGAATATCGTGTGGTCACATGGGAACATGTGATTAGTTCCAGCAAATAAGTTGTGAGCAGAGTGACAGATACCACTTCTGGGTTGGAGCACTGAATTGTGTTTATTGGCTTTTCACCTCTGGGACCAAAACATCTGACAAGGAAAACTTGGAGGAAGGAAAGATGAATTTGGACTCATGATTTCAGACATTTCAGTTCACAGTCACCTAGTTCCATTGCTTCAGGACTGAGGTGAGGCCAAACAGCATGGCAGGAGGAGAGGGTGGAGGAAAGATCCTCAGCTCATGGTATCCAGAAAGAGGGGAGAGAGAGAGAAGGGGAGGGGAGGGAGAGACAGAGGAAGGGGGAGGGGGAGGGGAAAGAATGGGTGAGAGGGGGAGTAAGAGACAGATACAGTCCCCAGGGGTTGACGTACTTTATCCAACCATGCCCCCACCTGCCTGCAGTTCCTACCTCCTCCCAGTTGTTCATTCAAACTATTAGCCTATGATGGATTAACCCACTGTTGAGGTTAGAGCTCACATGATCCACTCAAGACAAACCCTCTGGAGCTCTCTTTCCTTTGCTGGTTTTATTGGAAAGAGTCCCTGAGCAACAGGATAAACAGAGTCCCCCTTTCTCCACCAATCCCCAATATAGATGAGCAAGAAGCAAACTTTGGTTTCTTAATTTAAATCACTAAGATTTGGGAGTTGCTTGTTACTGTACCATCATCTAGACTCTTCTGAGTGGTAAGCACAGTAATATTTAGCTGAATTTCTTTGTGGTCTCATGATCTAATTTAAAATGTTCACAGAAAATTCATTTCTTCTCCTCCCATATTGTTTATGAACCTGGCAAATGACAGACATGACCTTTCAGGTTTCCTGGGCTTCAGTATGTGACAATGCAACAGGTCTTTCTTCAGTGCCCCCTGGATACAAAGCAGTTAAGGACTTCGTGAATGCTGTGGTTTGATCGTGGTCTGTCCCTTATGGGTCATCTGCTGGAAGCTGGGTCCCCAATGTGACTGTATTAGAGGTGGTGGAACCTTTAATAGGTGGGACCTAGTGGGAGATGGTTAGACCACTGCGGTCACTGCCCTTAGAAAGGACTGATACAGTTCTCATGAGACTCCAACTTTTTCTAGTGGGATCAGGTTATAAATGAGCAAGCCTGACCCCCAAAGTTCCCTGGCTTCCTGTGTGGCCTGGGACCTCTTCTACTTCTACTACTGCAACACCACCAACATGAGGTCCTTACCAGATGGAGCAGAAGATGGACCTTCAGAACTGTGAACCAAATAAACCTCTTTTTTAAAACAAATTACCAAAGCTCAAGCATTTTGTTATAGCAACATAAAATGGACAAATATAGGAAATAGGTAGATAAGAAAGACCCAGTCTGGCTCTGAATAACTTAAAGTGAAAGGATACGGTTTCTGGTTTTCTATATAAAAGGAATTTAAGGTTATCAACTGGGCCGTGAAGGGCACCCGGCGAAGTGATGTTCACAAAGCAAATGCAGTCTGTGTGCAATTATATATTTATTTGATGTGGCTTTGCAGGAATGCCAAAGTGGACACAAGAGAGGGACTAGAGACCTCCTTGGGCTGCACCAGTACTACCCAGGATGCAGCAAGTTCAACTGAAAGTAGAAAGTAAAAAGTTCCAAAAGAGGAAAGGAAAAGGTAGCCATGGTGCTTCAAAGGACTGGAAGATAAAGTCTGAGGGGGAGACCCTGAGAGAGCGTTCACTGGGGAAATTGTATTTAAGAGCACTTCTCAGACCAAGTTATCCACGGGAGAGGCTTGAGGGAAAGGAACGGTCTGGACAGAGGGCACCTGTAAGCAAAGGCACAGAGCAGAGGACACAGCAGGTCCCCAGGGCAATCTGACAGAGGCCTTATAAGGAGGCCCACGAAGGATGTCAGACCAGTGTGCACTCGAGGGGAAAGTGCTGGGGGACTTAGAGGGGTCTGTGTGTGGCCAAATGAGTTGGGAGTGGTGTGAAGCTGGGGTTTGGAGGAGGAGAATTATAAACCAGAAGCAGAGGAGCTGGTCCTGGCAGGTTTCCTTGGCGGAGCACAGCGCCTGTATCTGAATAATGAAGTTGGTCAAACCATAAGGGATGCAGCCCAGAGAGGGAGGCACGGGCCAGGGCCTAGTTCTCCCCGCACAGGTGGTGCCCAGCCCTGAGCACATGCTGAGCACAGATAGAGGAGCGCAAGGAACACCACCTTGGAGTAGCCAGCCCGGGTCAACCACAGGATGAGTGGACTTACAGGATTTGTTGGTCTGTCTGTCTGTCTTGTTTCTTAACTTCTGGGCCCATTTTTGCAGCATTAGTTTGTCATTAACATCTTTCCCCCAGAATAGGCACAGTAGACTAAGGTGTTGGGTGACCCATAAATCCCTTCGGTTTAACTTGGAGGAGACTGAAAGTAAAATGAGGTTTGAAGGTTATCTATGAATTTTCTCTTTAAATATTATAAACAAGGGCTGGCAGCCTGACTATCTTCTCATGATAATGAGAAAAAGAAACTTTTGAGACAAAAAAGGAAAATGTCCCAGACATTCAGCACTGGGTAAGGTTTTTCAGTGGGGCTTCCCTTTTGCTTAAGCAGATACTTTCTTTATGAAAGCAGTTTCGTTTTGTTCACATAAACAAACAAAAAGCCCCAAATGAGTATAAAGGCTGGGAGAAGCAGGTGGAGGATGAGAATAATAGTCATTCCTCTGTGTGACCTTGAGTGAAGGGAAGGGATTTCAAATACAAAGAGAACACTTCCGGGGCAAGTGGGCCATCTAAGCCTGACATGGTCCTCTGACATCCCACCCAAACAGAGCAAACCCAGGAGGTTACAGAGCACCTCAACATCCTTGGTTCAGAAATAAATGCAGATTAGTTTCTCAAAGCAACCAAACAATAGCGCCATCTCCAAAAGGTCAGGAGCAACTTGCTGGGAACCTGCTTGACACAGAATGGAGGAAAGTCTCCTTGAACTTAGGCTTCCTGTGGCTGTGAGGGCAAGGGGCACCTTCACACTGTCATCACCAAAGAGAGCAAACATTTTCCACCGAATCTGTTTTGTTCTAAGGTCAGATCTACAAAGCCATAATTACCCAGGTAACTCGGGTCTGATGTTGCCTAAAATATCCTGGTAATTATAGGAGAAAGGTCATTTCCTGGGTATAATCTCAACTATACCACTGGCTGTCTACACTGGCAGTGAGCCAGTTAAGAACAGCCTCTCATTTCACTTTGTACTAGCACAGACCTTGCCAAAAGACTATGAATCCTTAATGGGTTGTGTGTGTGTTTTTTTTTTAATTACCTTTATAAATATGCCTCTGCCCTTGTCCCACTCCCTAAAATGATCTAAGGACGTCAGGAGATGACACATAAAATACCCTTTGCTCATTTTTGCATTCAAAGGAAATGCACTCAGGAATGGGAGGAGACTGTCACAAGACAGAAAGGAAAGGCGAGAGAGAGAGAGAGCAGGAGGAAGGAACAGGGTGCCCAGATCCGCAGAACTGCGGGATTCAAAGATTGCAGGCTGCGCGGGGAGAGAGAAAAGCCGCGCGGATGTGCAGGTCAACAGACATCTTATTCAGATGAGCCCTGACCACGCAGGCAGTTTGGGGGCAGAGAGAAGCGCATCTGCTGGTGTGCGATTGCACGGGGGAAGCGACCGTTCCTCTTCCTTCACAAAGAAAAAAAAAAAGGCATTTATCTCAAGTACAGCCAAGCGTATTAGGATCCACCTCCCCCCTTCTTTCTTCCCTCTTCCTCCTACCATCTCCCTTGCCACCTCCCCTTCCTGTTGCAAAAGAAAAGGTGGGAGGGGGAGGAGGACCCGCCGGTCGCAGACCGCACGGTGGGGTTCTCTTTCTTCAGCTTTTACCAGCCTCTGGGGGTCAGGATGCTATTGGTTCAGCTTTCCGTGCGATTTGGTGCCTCTCACTTAGCAACAGCGAGCAGGAGCCGCAGCGAGCGACGCCACCTGGATCAGCGAGTGTGCGAGGGTTTAAAACGAGCCACTCGCTCCGGGGGAGGCAGAAGGGGAGAGAGGAGAGAGAGAGAAAGAGCAGTCTGAGCTCCACATATTGTACCACCGAGTGCAGGGCTGGATCAGGCGGCGCCCAGCAGCCAACGGGCAGGCTGCGGGGAGGGGCAGAGACTGGACAGGAGGGATTTTAATGAGTCTGTGCATACACCCTAGATTGTCTCCGCGTGTTTTTCTTTAAAGGACAATCTACTGCTGCATGGGGTGGTGGGTGGGGAGAGAGATGGTTATCGGGGCAAGAAATGAGAGATGAGATGAATCTGAAACTCTGCAGTGAGTTTCCTCGGTTTGATTTTGTTTTTACACCAGGGTGTTGTTACTAGAAAGGAAAAAAGTAAAATTGGGTGTACTTGAAAAGGCAATTGGCTATGTAATCAGGGGATTTTTTTTTTTTAATTAGTCAACACAGTAGCTATTTCTAAATCCTAAATTCCATTTTAGTGGTTGAAAATTAGCTTTCTGGAGTGGAAGTGGCAAAAGAGAAGTACAGCTCTGCTAGAAAGAGATCTT